GCCTGGGCTTCAGGTCAGCCCCACGTCTCATGCCAGTGCCCAGAGCAGCTGCCCCTCAAGGACATTCTGCTCAAGGTGGCTCAAGAGAACACGGTAGCCAAGGCAAGCCAAGCCAGCCCACTGGGGCCTCTGCTCACAGGTGCTCACTAACATCCCTCTAAAGAGGGATGTTAAAGAAATGCACTTAAAGAAATGCACCATCTGCTCCTTCTCCTCGATGGTCTCTACCGAGCACCTCCCACACCCCGGGACATGGCTCCCAGTTGCTCCCTTCACACAGCTTATCTTCAATAGTCGGGAGCATTTGTCAGTCAACAAACATAAGAAGCAGGGTCATTTCCAGTATTGTACATGCCATGGAGAAACCACTAGGTTGATGGGGCAAAGAGATGGGCAAGGCTGTTTACAGTGAACAGTCGGGAGCCTGTCTGCATCTGCACTGATGCCCATGGGCCAACAGCTTGGAATAGTCTTCTAGGCAGCAGGAACAGCATGGGAAAAGACTCCAAGGGGTGAGCAAGCTGAGTGTCCCCCAGAAAGTCAGCCAAGATGGAGGAGTACGTGTGGGGACCGTAGGGGACACTGAGGTGGCACAAAGTCAGAGGTGTCAAGCTGGGGCCAGACTTTCATTTTATTCTAAGAGCAACAGGACACTGGAAGATATTCTGGTTTCAATTGCAAGTTGATCACTCTGGCAAGTGCAAAGTGGGGACTGTTGTAAGTTTCATTTTGAGGAAACTGAAACCCAGAGAGGTTAAAGAAATTTCCAAAGTCACACAGCTGATAAGTAACAGAGTCCAGACTCAAACCCAGGCGCATGTGACCTCGAAGCTATTGTAGTCTCAGGCTCCCTGTGGGCTCAGGCAAGGAGGAGTACACCACAGACAGATCTTTAGGTTACTGAGCTGTCCAGTATGATAACCACTGACCACGTGTGCATCAGCAAATTATGAACACTGAATGAAGTGGCTGATTCAGTCTCTTGGTTGTTCTAGCCACGGTCCCCGGCATTGGCCACACATAGCAGTGGCCACCATATCGAATCACACATACCTAAGACGCTTTAAGAGAGGCACAGACCCAGAACCTTGCCTTAGAGAAATGGCAGCCAGTATTTTTTCCCGGGAGAGGCTGATGGAAAGAACATACACATGGAGCTGTCCAGGAAGGAGAGGGTTATTCTGACCCTCCATCAAGCCACAGAGAATGTTCTCTTCTAATATAAGACTTTTGCACAAGATCAGACCTTTTGTTTGTGAGCTAGATTTTACTGGAGCTGAGGGAGGCTCCATCTGGATTTGCTTAACTGGGAAAAGAGGTTTCTACATCCAGGACCCTGGAGCTGAGGTTTTCATGGGTGAAAAGCTTCGGGCCAGGTCCATGATGCCCAGGGTCGAGTCCAGACTGGGACCTGGGTGGCTGGTTTGCCTCAGGGAAGACTGAGTTCTGGCAAACAGTGCACCCGTGGTGGCTCTCCCCCAACTCCTCTGCTGAGATCAATTTGAGAGCCAGGGTTTGGTCTCAGCAGTATCTCATGCCAACTCTCCGTATCTTCATGGAGTGAGCAGGTGCTAAGCTGCCAAGACCCTCACATTGGATTAGTAAGGAGAAACGGTCTCATCAGTGAAGGTCTAGGGCAGGTGGCTGCGGAGGACCCTCCAAATCAATCCCTCTGACCCTCTCAGCACTGTTTGGACTGTGCCAATATCATCCTCAATGCCATGTAGAGATGCCCCGGGCTCAAATCCTGGGCCTTGAAGTCCTGGGATCCCTGTCCTTGGCCAGGCCAAGCCATGCGCCTGTTCTGAACCAGTCACCGAGGCCAGGGAGGGAAGAGCACTTGTCATGATGTGTCCAGCCACGTACCTGACACCAAGACCTAGGGGATGGGGACATGAGCAGTTCCCCAGAAATAATTAAACAATTTTCCCAGGAAATAGAAAACAGAGGTGCTGAACAGGAAAACCAGCAAATGCACACCCTCTCTGAGCTGAACTTAGAGTGGCTTCTCCCCCTCCTACATTCACTTCTCTTCCTACATCCTCAACCTCTGAGTGGCTGGGATTCCTCTTGAGCATGCAAAGCTTGTTGGAAGATAGGCATTCCTTTCATGCCTCGTCTCCTGTTCTGTGCTGAGATGCTGATAGGCAGGGTAGCACATGGAGGGCCTGGGCTGGGCACTGGGCTGGGCATGTTGTCTGAGGGGATGATTTTGGTCAACAGACTGCATGACCCAAACTGAATTAAGCCAAATAGATGCAGAAACATTTTTTTGGCTTCTATGTGTGAGGTGTAAGGGATCCCTGGCTTCAGGGATGGCTGGATCAAGGGGCTAAAAGGAAGTAGTATTTTATTTCTGGCTCTCCATCTCCTGGCTCAATGCCCCCTGTGTTGAATGAATTCTCAGACAAGTTGTTGTAAGACGGCTGCAAGTTGCTGTCAGACCGCTGCTTTTTAAGCAGAGGTCTCACAGAAGACAGCAGGCATCTTTGCCTACCTAGCCTTGCCTGAGAAGTCCCCAGTGTACATCACCTGTTCACCCTGAGCCAATCTCTGTGCTGAGGGAATATAAGCTTTGATTGGTTTAGGCCACAGTCACGTGGACCTGCTCACGGCTGGAAGCAGAGCTTCATCCTTCTCCTGAGAAACCAGAGCTGCAGGGCAGGGGTGCCCCACATGACTGCAGGGGGACTCCCCTCTTCTGCCCCCTTCTTACTCCTTGACACCAGCCTCTGCTGTCCCAGGACCACACTTCAGGGGACTACCTTTCCTGTTGGCACCTGTTCCCTCCATGCTCCTCACGAGGGCCCATCCTGTGGGCCGAGGCCCCCTCCACTCCCTACTGACTGCACCTCAAGGGCCCCGTTTCCAGATGAGGTCACCTTGCGGTCGAGTGGGTGCCTGGTTTTTGGGACACTGCTGATCCCAGTGCACATACATGCCGCAGTGGCTCAGAAGGATGGAAGCTCCTAGATTGTCCCATCCGAGGCTTCCTGGGGCTTGGGTCAAATTCTTCCCTAGGACTTTGGCCTTGGCAATAGTGACCGTGGTTGGGGCCAGCAGTATAAGCTGCTGCCCCAGCTGGAAACTGGCCAAGCATTTCTGCACAGCACTGAGCTCCCAGGACTGTCCCTGGGCCAGGTCCTCATGTGACACGGCAGAGTCCCTGGGTGCCCATCCCCAGGGGACCACAAAGATGCCTGTGGCCTTGCTGCTTCCTGCCTGTAGAAGAAATGGCTTGCTGTCTGGCACCGTAGACCCCACAGCCAGCCACATAGGAGGTGACAAGGTACCCAGAGACCTCCCCATTGGTTGGGATGCCCTGGGCATGAGCCGAGATGGGGCCCTGCGGTGCCCGGCCACCTTGGGCCACTGTTGTTCCTCTCAATTGCTTAGATATTCTGCAGAGGCCAGGTCCCCTCCCACCCATGCCAGAAAGGTAACCGACAAGAAGCCAGCGGTCTGTAAATTACAACATTGATTAGAGAGGAGATTATTGGAGTGACTCCTGCCCGGCCGTTATGCTAATGCTGTCCAGATCTGGGGCAGTGCTGATGTCCTAACGGCCAGCCTGGGACAGCAGCGAAAATTGGTTTCCATCCTTCATATCAGCAAGGAAACACACACTGCTCTTGACCATGGGTGAGAGGACCCGTCCGCATGTCCCTCCCAGCTGCTCCCTGCCACTGTCCCCAGCAGATGGAGTGAAGTCTCTCTACCCAGCCCTCACCAGCTGCCTCTGCAAACAGAACAGTGCATGGAAGATGGAAATCGGGCCCAGAGTGGCTACCCACCACCCCAGAAGGTGGGGAAGGAGAGGGTGAGCGATCACAGGAGGTCACTAATCAGCACTAGAGGTCATTTGGTGGGGTCCAGACCTCGGTGGGGGGTATCTGCTCCTCCCAGAGCATGCAGCCTAGGAGACAGATAAGCAAATCGGCAATTACAGCTTTGCATGGTAAGTGCTGCCCGATGACTTCATTAACTCCAAAGTGTTAAGCTCAATTGTGCAAACGTCCACCTCTCCAGCAAAAATTAGGCTTATGTGTGTTCTCAAAGAAGTCACTGACCCTGGAAAGGTCGGGAAACACTGCCTAGGGGCTTCCTAGGAGCTTTCAAATTAACTTCCTATGTTTCCACTGCTTTTCCTCCATCTCATCTCAGTGGCTCCCTGCCTCTTCACTCACCCCCAAATCCTCTACGGTTGTCCTGAGGCATCCCCATGAAGAGAAGGCTCTTTTCATCCATCCATCCATCCTTCCTTTCATCCATCTGGCTGGCTGTCCATCCATCTAACCCTCCCTCCATTCATCATCCTTCTTTCCTCCATCCATCTGTCCATCCATCCTTCCATCTATTCATTCATCCATCTTTCCATCTATTCATCCCTCTGATCATCCAGCCAGCCAGCCAAGCATTTGCCCACCTGTTCATCAATCTGTTTGTCCTTCCATCCATCTGTCCATCCATCTGTTGATTTATCCATTCACCAACCCATCCTTCCATCTGTTCATCTACTCACCCATCTATCTATCCATCCATCTATCCCTCCATCCCCCATCTCTCCATCCCGCCATCCACCCACCATCCACTCTGCTGAGCTCCTGCTTCATGAGCAGCTGGTATAAGGAACCAAGGGCTGAAGACAAAGAGGATGCACTCTTTGCCTTGAAGGATGTCACAGTTTAGGAGGTGATGCAGGAGCTACATGAGATAAGTCATATTGTGTCCCTCCCTATAATGCAGCTGTGTTTCTATTTCAGTTTTCCGTTCATTCGTATGGCACAAACAGAGCCTCCGTCTCACTTCCAGGGGTTGTAATTATCACCTTCACCCCTGCTCCCTGGGGTCACTTTCTAATGCAACCATCTGTACCAGGTCCTTGTCTGAGGGACTCGAAGCCCATGTACTTTCCAAGAAAATGGGATGAACTAAACTGAAGACAGGTGGTCTGCAGGGTCCTGTGGACGTCTCCATCCCCACTCCCTCTGTCTCTGCAGGTGTCCGACCACTGTGACTATGTCTTTGTCAATGGCAAAGAGATCAAGGGCAGGATGGATGCAGTAGTGAATTTCACCTACCAGTACCTGAGCGCCCCCCTGCACATCACCGTGTGGGTGCCCCGGCTGCCCCTGCAGATTGAGGTCTCTGACACAGAGCTCAGCCAGATTAAGGGCTGGAGGGTCCCCATCGTGGCCAGCAAGAGGTGAGCCTGGCGTGAAGGAGGTATCCGAGAACCTCGATAACCGCGGCTTTATGGACAGTTTTAACTCTACGGGGGCCGGTTCAGGACCTGGCGCATAGTGGGCACTGATGTTCTCACGACTCTTACATCTCCTAACCCTATTGAGAGCTCCCTGCAGGGACCAGGGCTCAGGATGGCCCAGCCAGAGCTGGACCCACAGCTGCTCAACAGAGGGTCTGCACCCAGCCCGAGATGTCCTCCTGCTGCCCGTGGGCTGGGGCAAGTCTGTCTTGCAAGTGGTTCTCCAAATGGCAGGACAAGTGTCTCCATTTTTCTAGGCCTTCAAGCCCCAGGAATTTGAGGTTTGATTTAATTTTCTAAGGAAAGCATCCGCTCTCTCCTGTGCTTTGTGAATATCTCTAAGCTTGAAGTGCTCTGTGCAGGTCAAATTATTGGATACAATGTAATTGGGTTTCTCCCCGGAACACAGGGCTACTGTTTCAAACAGCCTCTAATTGGTTTATTCTGTGTGATTCTGGGTCCTTGGCAGGAGCTTGGGGTCTAGTGGGCTCAGAGCTATGACACCCCCTCCGCTGTGTTGCCTAAGGGGCTGTCATGGCTGAGGTCCTGGCTTCTGGCCTGGAATCCCCCATCCTGGGCCATCAGGACTGTCTCTGGGGGCTCCCAGGCACAGGAGTCTTCATTAGATTTCAGCAAGAGTGTGTCTCAACAAGAGCGTACAGAGGGGGGAGTCAAACCTCCCAGAAGAGCTTGAGGGAAATCAGCCTGATCCGGGAGGACAGTGGTCCTTCAGGTCACACTGTGGTCACGAATGGCCAAGAGAATGGGTGTGTCCCACGTGGAACCAGGACATGCTGCGTTCCCATCCACAGAAGGTCTGCTGTGGATCAGCTGTGGAGCCAGACCCCTGGCCTCTCCGTGCCTCCGTATCCTCATCTAGACATAGAGGGTGCTGATTGGAGAGTTTATATACAGGGGATCGGTGGGGTCTGGTCCACCTCAAGAGCATGAACGGCTCTGTCCAGCAGAACTTTCTGCAGCAAGGGGCTGTCCTAGAAGGACGCTGTCCAATATGGTAGCCACCTGTACGGCAGCCACGGGGCATTTGGACTGCCATGCGGCTGAGAAGTTGAGTCTTTTAATGCATTAATTTGTGTTAACTTGCATTTAAATAGCCACAGATGGTGGATGGATAGTGAACACACAGTGTGTGCTTAGTTAGCCCTTAAGTCTTTAATCTGCTGATAGACACGTTCCAGGAAGGGTGTCCAGCCCTTTGTGCTGCCCGGGGTTGAACTGGCATGCCTGTGACCCAGGGCAGGTACAGAATGTCGGCTCTGGGAGGCCTCTGGATTCCAGAGCGGCTATTCTTTTCCCTCAGGCCCACGCGGGACAGCGAGGACGAGGAGGAGGAGGAGCGGCGGGGCCGGGGCTGTGCCCTGCAGTTCCAGCACGCCACTGTGCGGGTCCTCACCCAGTTTGTGTCCGAGGGGGCCGGCCCCTGGGGCCAGCCAAGCCACCTGCTGGGCCCCGGCTGGCAGTTCGACATCACCCCCCTGGTGGTGGACTTCATGAAGCTGGAGTCGCCTCACGTGGCCACGCTGCAGGACGGCAGGATCCTGGTCGGGCGGGAGGTCGGGATGACCACCATCCAGGTAGGAAGCGGGGGCTCGGGACGTCAGCCTGCTTCCTGGTAGTGGTGCCGGGGGCTCCCAATGCACAGGTCATCGTGGACAATCCCTGGCCCCCGATGGCTCCAGAGGACCACATGGGGGCACAGAAAGGGCAGCCCACCCAGAGACTAGGGCTCCAGACCTGCTGGGGCACCCCAAGGCACCCACACTGCCTCCCACCCAGGCTCCCCCAGGGAGCTCCCCTCCAGGTCCCCTTTCCTGCCCCTCTCGGGTGACCTTCGTGTCCTCTGTGCATCTGTGAGTGGCCATCTGGAGCCTGCAGGTTCCTGTCTCTGCTGCTTTTGGACATGGCCACCAGCCCTTCATTTGCTCTCCAACTCTTCAGCGTCCACACCCCATCTTTTGCTTCAGGAGACATGTAGGGTGTTTTGGGACAGAAAATGGGGTGTGAATAATCTTTGTTTCAACCCCTCAAGTCCCCGTTGCCCAACACCTTTCTGGAATGTCGTTCTTGATCTTTAAACCATGTGTGGAAGTGACTGGTACAGTCCACCATCTCCCCTGGACATCTCCACCCCATGGAGCTTATGGGAGGGGGAGAAACCAGTGTCCCAGCAGGTATGGACTATTTTATTCCAGTTCTTCCCAGTTGACTCCATACTTCACTCAAAATTTGAATCAGGCTGCACAAAGTCAGTTAATGCGCAACGCATCACGAGTTGAATAAACAGGATCACCCGATACAGTTAACCAGGTTGTGCATTGTACAGGGCACCTCTTCTAACTGGGAGGGGTCATTCTCTTTTAAAGACATACTGGATTTTAATATTTATTTCAATTTTCCAACAAATAGAACCAAAATTGCTTGGGGAAGGGATGGCTATCTGATTCCCCCCTAAGCCATAGTAAGGGCCAGCGTTAATAGTGGGATGGGCACTAGACTCCCTTGCTCTGTGTTCTGGACTCAGGTCCAGTTGGGGAGTTTCTGACATCTGAAAATAGGTGTGAGGAGTTTTCCTCATGTCCTGCCAACCCCACAGGTGCTGTCCCCACTGTCTGACTCCATCCTGGCAGAGAAAACGGTCACCGTGCTGGAGGACAAAGTGTCGGTGCTGGACTTGGCCATCCAGCTTGTGGCTGGGCTGTCTGTGTCCCTCCACCCCAACGCTGAGCACAGCAAGGCCATCACAGCCGTGGCCACCGCCGAGGAGCTGCTACGCACCCCCAAACAGGTAGGACCTGGCGGAGGGCGGGCCACGCACCTGAGAGGGGAGTGTTCAGCTGCAGCAGGTCAGCGCAGAGGTCAAATCCTGAGCACTGAAGCACTCGACTCCCCGCCAGCCTGTGGAACCTGACCAGGAGCGAGTCCATCTGCAGCCCTCCCAGGGGCGACTGGCCATGCTCTTCGTCCACCCTCCCGTCTGCTGGGGGCACAGTGAGCCTCTGAAACTGTGGGTCCGATCACATCCTTCTAGGGCTAAAACTGAGGCAGGGGACTTCCCACTGACCTAAAGAGGCCATGTTCCCTCACAGCCCACAGACCCCCACACTGGACCTCTGATGGCACCTGCCCTCCCAGCCTCCCTGCTGTGTGTCACACGCCCTCTTCTTGAGCTTCCCAGAGCCCTCCCTGCTGTTCCTCTGGCCTGGGACATGCAGCCCTAGCCTTCCCCTGAGCATCTCTCTGCCTGATGCTTAGGCCCAGCTGCGATCCCGCAGCTCATGGTGCCTCTGCCACCAGCCCTGCTCTGCCCCGCAACCCCACTGTTATCTCTCTTTGCCAATCTGTCACCAAGTAGGGTGCATAACTGTGAAAGAGAAGGAATGACCCTGAGGGCACTTGTCCCCCTCAGGGCAGAGCTGGACATCAGCCCTCCCCACCCACCTCTTCACACCCTGCCCCAGGGGCACCCAGGCTCCATCCTAGCTAATGGCGGCCTGGTCCCCACGTTTCTGCCCCAGGGAGTCCCCACCTGGGAGGCACAGTCTCTGCAGCCAAGTGCATCCAGCCTTGCCTGGGCTGTTAGCTGTATCCACTTGTCCAGGGAGGAGGTGGGTGGGATGCTTCTGCTTACTGAGCCTCTGCCACATGTGCGTTTGGACTGGAGGTGGGGGCGTGACCTGCGGGCTGGTAATTCTCAAACTTTCTTGACTGTTCTCCCTTCTGGGAACTCTGGGTCGCTGCTCGGGCACTGATGGGAAGACAGCCAGTCTTTCCAGTCCACTCAGCCCTCACTGTGGCCCGAGCTTCCTGTTTTCCTCGGTGACAATTCCACAAAAGCAACCTGCAGAGTGAAGCTGGCACAGCCAAGCGGCCACCAGAGAGCACTCAGCTGGCTCTCAGCACGTCACCGCTGTAGACTGACTGTCTCCTGGGGGGGCTCAAGGGCAGAGCAGAAGGTGCCCCCAGCTCACAGGGCAGGTGCAGCGAGGAGGGGGCTCCTGTTCATTGCCCGGGGCTCTGATGGTTCTCCCACCCACCCCTCCTCGGCAGCCTTGTTATCACGAGCACCTGGCCACTAATAAAAGGGTCTGCCACAGGTAACAGGGCCCGTCTGGTGGCCAGTGGTGAAGACGGGAAACTCATATCTGTTGGCTTCTTCTCCTGGGAGGGGCCCGGCTGAGGGTCCTTGTTGAAGTTCAGGTGCTTTTTTCTGTCCTTGGTGTAAACCTGTTTTCTTCCCCAGATTTGTCAGCCACCAGGTCTGGATTTGGGGTCCCTGTCTGGGGCATTGTGCTCGTGGGTGGTTGGAGGAGAAGAGCCTCCCCCAGGTGGTTCTCACTGCCTCTCTCCCCGCAGGAAGCCATGGTCAGCACGTGGCTACAGTTCAGTGACGGCTCCGTGACACCCCTGGACATCTACGACACCCAGGACTTCTCGCTGGCTGCCACCTCCCTGGATGAGGCTGTGGTGTCTGTTGCCCCCGCCCGCTCTCCCAGGTGGCCCCTGGTGGTGGCCGAAGGGGAAGGTCAGGGCCCACTGGTCCGAGTGGACATGACCATCGCCGAGGCCTGTCAGAAATCCAAACGCAAGAGTGTCCTGGCCGTGGGCATTGGCAACATCAGGGTCAAATTTGGACAGAGTGACGCCGACACCAGCCCCACCGGGGACAAGGACGAGGATGACATCAAGAACCACACCAGTGACCGTCGGCAGAAGGGCCAGGACGAGCGTTTCCAGGAGCGGGAGGAAGGGGCCCTGCGGAGGGCCACCACCACGACGGCCAAGTCACTGCAGGACAACAGGGTGGGGAAGAGCAGCCGGCTGGACGGGGACGCGCCGCCCGGGGAGGGGCAGCTGCAGAACATCCCCATTGACTTCACCAACTTCCCAGCCCACGTGGACCTGCCCAGGGCGGGGGCCGGGCTGGAGGAGAGCGACCTGGTGCCCACGCCCCGGGGCCTGAGCGACCTGGAGATCGGCATGTACGCCCTGCTGGGGGTCTTCTGCCTGGCCATCCTGGTCTTCCTCATCAACTGTGCCACCTTTGCCCTCAAGTACAGGCACAAGCAGGTGCCCCTGGAGGGCCAGGCCTCCATGACCCACTCCCACGATTGGGTGTGGCTGGGCAACGAGGCCGAGCTCCTGGAGAGCGTCGGGGACCCGGCCCCGCCCCAGGACGAGCACACCACCGTCATCGACCGCGGGCCGGGGGGCCACGAGGAGGGCGACCACCTGCTCCTCAACGGGGGCTCCCAGAAGCAGGTGCAGAGCCAGGTGCGCAGGCCCACGGACCCAGGGAGGCCAGGCAAGGCACAGAAGCCAGAGGCCCCGCACTCGCCCACCTCCAAGCGGAAGAAGGTGAAGTTCGCCACCTTCACCACCATCCCCACCGACGGCGGCTGCCCCACTGTGAACTCCATCCTGGGTGGCCAGGAGGAGATCCAGTGGGTGTGCCAGGATGTGGAGGTGGGTGCCCCCAAGGAGCTCAGAAACTATCTGGAGAAATTCCAGGAGAAGGCCTAAGTCCTGTGGCCAAGGGCCTTCAGACCCCGGGGTCAGCGGACACGGGCCCCAGTGGGCAGAGGGCATCCTGAGAGGTTGAGTGGGGCTGGGCTGGGCTCCCCCCAGGCCCAGTGGGAAGTTCTGAAGCTAGGAAGGACATTTTTGTATCAAGAATTTTTTAGCAGTTGATGACGGTGGATTTTGGAAAGTCGGTTCCCCTGTTCTGGGAGCAAGGGACAGATGGGAGTGCTGAGTCCTGCCACGCCCCAGAGGATGTTGTCTTACGGACACCCACGAGCTACCAAAAATGATTTGTTAAAAAATGCAAAACGACAGATAAAAAGAGACAGATCGTACTCTGTTTATATTTCTAATAAAGAAGCAGAATACAAAAGCAGGGTCTTCCAAGAGGAGGCCCTGCATCCGAGGTCTACGTCGCCTGGCCAGGGAAGAGACCTTCTCCGTGCCGATGTGGCCTCCGGGCAGAACTGAGGACCTGGACATTCCAACAGTGGCCTCCTCCTTCCTCTTGCACATTTCCTTTTTACGGCCTAGACTCACACTTGATTTATATTTAACGCTGATCTCTGAGGATCACGTGGTATATTTTTCCTAAATGAAATATAAATTATATTCTCTTCGTCAGACAGCTTTTCGGCAACGATGTCCATCCCTCCACTCCTCGCCCTGTGACTGTCGAGCTTTCTCGTCTCCTTCCGGCTTCGCTGGGACGTTACAATTAGGAAAAGCTCTCTACGCCTTCAGTGACCCCACCACCGCCATCACAGGGTCTAGGCCCGGGAGTGGGTCCCGTTCAGCAGGACGGAGCCCAGCCCGGACCACCCACCACACAGAGTGCCTGCCCGGTGGGGAGGTTGGGTCAAACCCCAGAGAGGCTGTACCCAGGTGGAATCGGTGTCAACTTTCGGGGTGGGTGTGTCGCAAGGCACAGCCAATGTTGAAAAATGACCCAAGATGAGAAGTGTTTGGGGGGATTTAAGCTGCTTTTCTGACTTTGCCGGGCAGGGTACACCAGCATAAACTCGGAAGACGCGCCCTGTGTTTGATGTCCCTTAGCTGTGCTCTTGAGTAGCATCACCGTTAGCCGCACACCACAAAACACATTCATCCAAAGCGACAGGCACATGGCTGAGAAGACCTGCATGGGGTGAAATGACCACCTTTGTGACTCTCTGTTCAGAGCTGTGGAGGGGACAGAGCTTAATGCTCCCAGCAGGGAGACGCTCACAGAGATGCCAGGGATGGTTTCTGGTGTTTTTTTAATCATTATTATTACTATTATTACTAAAGTCAGTAGCTGGGAAAGGGTCTTGGAAGCCTCTGAGGCTTAGTTGGACCTTTGAAAAATATATTTGTAGCACATATTATAAACGGAAAGAAGCTATTTATTTATACCTGTGATGCCAGTTGTCATTAAAATGTTTCCGGTGGCTTGACTGCTCAGCGTCTCCCGGGGGTGTTTCTTGTGTACTCGGTTCTCGCTGGGGAATGCAGCTGCTGGGCCAGAGGGGACGGGTGCATTTACCTTTTCCCCTCTGCTTCCTGAAAGATCCAGGGTGGTCGCTAATCAAGGACCTGTGGTCCCCACACTCACCACCACCTCCATCCCACCCCATCCCCATCACAGCAGGGCTCTGTGAAGCAGGGCAGCAGGCCTGGCGCCACTTTCTGATTGGGTAGCACGGGGGAGACTTGTTAACACCTTCCAAGGTGCAGCTGGTGCTACTGGTCCTGAGGCCTGCACTTTGCCCCCCACCCCCACCCCGGACCTGGAAGCGGGAGGGAAGCCCCACCAGGCAGCCTGCGGGAGGCAGGGTTGGTCTCTCACTTTCCTTCCAAGCTGTGGTCGTTTGTTCAGGGTCTGGGCAGGATCGTCGTTGCTGCCCACTGGTTTGGGAGAACAAGACTTGTTTTTCCATAACAGTTTTATGGAGACGTAATTCCCATGCCATGAAACCCACCAGGGTGGTATCCAACTCGGTGTTTCTAGCATGTTCACAAAGCAGGGCATCTAGCACAGCCTCTGGTATAGAACATGTCCATCACCCCAAGGAGAAGCCCTGTGCCCATCAGCTGTCACTTCCCCGGCCCCTGTTCTCACCAGCCCTGAGCAGCAGCTGCTGTGTCTTCTGTGTGCACAGGATGTGCCTGGAGGAGCAGATGCTGCAGTCATTATGGGACTCTCCCGACAGCTGGCGTGAGGGGCTACCGTCCCCAGCAGCAGCGACTCTGTTTCCTTCTTGGAGAAGCAATCTTAAAACAAAAACGAGCTTGCTCAGGCAGGGCACTCAGCCCCAGTATCGTCAGACCCTAAAGCAAACTGGATCAGCCTCAAGGATTCGGTCTTCCTCCGCGCTCACACCCACTCCCCCCACCCACCGAGCCCTCTCTCCTGCCTTTGTGAATGGGGATCCTCACCAGGTGACTGTGGACCACATAGTCCTCAGTCTGTGTATTCCCTAAGATGTGTGTCAGTGCCTTCTGCAAATAAAGCCACAGGTGTCAGGGGTACGTGCATCCCAGGAATGGCTTCGCTTTCCCCAAGGACACCAGTCTGCAGCAGAAGACCCCCCACACAGAGCCCACTCATATGGACAATCTTGCTCCCTGTGCAAGTTGTGAAATACAAGGGCCCTGTCTCTTCATTGTCACCTGACACACCACGTGCCTGGCCCTGAACCACATGCCAAGGTTGGAACAAGAAGAGAGACCACAAGGTACTGGGGTCACTGTGCTGCTGGGCGGTGGCTGCACTCCCCTGCCCTCTCTTCCCACCTATCTGTCCACAGTCGTTACTCAGGTACCCATAGGCCCTCTCTTGGCTTTTCAGAAATGTGAGAGTCTGAAAAAAGAAACAGCAATGGCTATAATCACTAAAAAAATAAATATGCCCAGTTAATGAGCCACCACTCTGTGCCAAGACCAGTGTTCAACACCCTCTAGTTATGGGCGTGTTATCCCCAAGGAGATGTGAACCCTGGTACAGGTCCTTCCCCAGGCCACAGCCTGGGTGGCAGAGCCAGGCCCAAGCCGCCGTGTGTCTCCCCATCTACATTCTTAACTAACATGTGACACAAGCTTTATGTGTCTTATCCTGTGACAGAAATGGAATTTGACTGACATAAAATTTGACTGACAATTCGGTTTCGAGACACAAGATTTGGGTGATGAAGGAAGGCAAGAGTAAAGGAGGAGAAAAGTGGAACCTCCCAGTCCCTCCCCGCAGACACAAACGAAAACTCGTCCCACGAGCCTTTCAGGTTTGTGACATTGCAGGTCAGGAACACGTGTGTTCCTATTCATGTTTTGAAAAACTCACCATGATAAGTGTGAATCGTGGACCACTATCCAGTCTTTACAGTAGCCCATTTTAAAAAATTTTTGAAAGGAATCAAACTCCCTCTGCCAGGCCCCTCAGGCATGTCCTTCTGCTTTTCGTTGAGGTCAAGGGCGTGTACTGATTGTTAAGCATCATGAACTGCAGCCAGAGGTAGAAGACAATAGGCCCCCTCCTGAGGAGAGGCTGCTGCATGAGGGGCTCTGCAGTGAAGGCAGGGGGTGGGCATGGAGCCGCCCCTGCGCAGCCCATATCTACTGTCTCCAGGCACCTGCTGGGGAGAGGCTCAAGGCACAGGGGTGAATGGGAGCACCAGCCCTGCAGCGCCCAGCCCTGCACGGCCAAGGAAGGCCATGCCTGCAGCTTGCTCCCCGAGACACAGAATGCTGAGGGTGCCATGAGCAGGTCACGTCAACAGGTGGCAGTACCAACCGTTGGTGGGACCTTCCTCAGCCAAATGCAGGGAGACTCCTGTGACAAGGAAGCCAAGTTCCTGCGCATCCTGAGTGGGGCAGAGCATAGAGGAGAGCCGTCACAAGCCCTCAGAAGGCAGCCGTGGCTGCCACAATGGTCCTAGAGACCCTGGACTCGCACCAGGGGAATCCCACTTCTGCCACCAACTCTCTCCGAGGACATTGGTGATTCACGCTGAAGGGCTAGGAGACTAACCCAAGAGCAGAAGCCTAGAGCTTGCAGCAGGGTCTCCGGGCTGGGTGGACAAAAGTGTGTCAGAACATGGTTCTCTCTGGAGCCTGTGGCGGCGTCTGGACAGTTCATGGGCAGGGCAGTAACAAAGCACATGGGGGGAGAAAAGGGAGCGTGAAACCTGGCTGATCTCACAGCACTTAGGAGAGGAAAATGGAGACTGAATTCCACAAAGAGGGACCCCAGTTGGCATCCAGGGTTAAAGCTGAGACCCTGGAGGGCGTGTTCCTTGAGGGGAGCCAGCTGGCCTGCAGCGGCCCTAGGGAAGCCGGGAGCAGGGCCAGGAGTCGAGGAAGCTCATGATTGAGTCCGGGTCTCCACAGGGGCCTCAGACCTCAGGAGCGAGAGATCACATCTTGCCCCCACCTCAAATGTGGGAACCTCTTCCAGAGGATAAAGGCGTCTCCTTCCCTCCTGCCTTCCACAGGGGGTTCTATTTGGGAAATTCTGTCCTGGGATCACATAGGAAGGGAGATTGTGGGGCTGGGTTTGGCTCAGTGGCAGAGCCCTCGCCCAGGACCCAGGGAGGCCCTGGGTTCCATCCCCAGCAAAACAAAGAGAGATGCCTGGAGACGCAGCTTCTAATCTATGCTGCAGAGGATTCCTGAGAAAGAAGTGGTCCTCAGGCTGTGGTGACCAAAGGCAACCAAGGCCACCTAAATTAAAAGACAAAGACAGGGAAACTGGATTCAAAAAACAAAAAAAGTACTGATTACACAAGCTCCCACTCCAAAACAAGGACAAAAAAAAGTTTGTAGGAAAAAAAAAAGATGGCAAAGTGTGTGACGTTGGTGTGGACTGAGGACAACGCAGCTCCACGTGCATCAGAAAAACATTAGAAGGAAGAAGCATTGCTGGAGAGGAAGAGAGGCTCTCATCATAACAAAAGAGTAACTTGAAGACACAAAGGTCTTAATTATGTATGAAACTTAGAACAGAGATGCAAAACACACACCAAGAAGACTAAAAGCTGCAGGACATTGTTGAAAAGGAGGAAGGACCAGTGAAGGGAGGACACATCCATGTTTCCATGTTCACCGAGGGCTGCAAGGTCATGACCATGTGCTGCTTTGAGCTGTGGGTTGGGGATTAGCTAATAATGGTAGCAGCAGGAATCCAGCACGTGTCCTCAGGGCGCAGCCGCTCCAGGGCCGGGGATACTGACCACTAGGGCACTCAGCAGGCCGCAGGGCTGGAGCAATCCATTCTGCAGTCCTCGGGGATGGCCCACTGCCTGCATGCTCACCCCGAGCTTCCTGGAGCAGCTGGGGAAGGGCCAGCCAGCCTCCGAGGGCCTCCCTCAGTGGGCTCTCTCCCTTGGCAGGTGCAGGGCTCTCTGGACCTGCTGGGGCTGCACCCCGGATATCCCATGGCAGTCTCACGGTTTGTAACTGTCATGAGCCACCTGACAGCCCACCAGTTGGGTGGGTGACTCTGGTAGCCCAGGTAACCCTACCTTGGTTTCCAGGGCACCACAGTTAACTACCATGAACTCGGTGGCTTCCAACGGCAGGATTTCCTCTATCCCACAGCTCTGAAGGACAGAGGTCTGGAGGCACTGGCAGGGTCACAGTCCCCCAGAGACCGCAGAGAAAATCCTTCCTCTTCCTGCTTCGGGGGCCGCTGGTGTCCCCTGGCTTGTGGCTGCATGGCTCCCGTCTCTGTGGCTGCCTTCACATCCCTTCCCTGGGCCTCTGTGTCTCTCCTTGTCTGTCTCAGATAAAGAGTCCATCGTTGATTCAGGACCCACCCTCCTCCAGGACTGTCATCTCAAGATACCTTTGTTGGGCTGGGGATGTGGCTCAAGCGGTAGCGCGCTCACCTGGCATGCGTGCGGCCCGGGTTCGATCCTCAGCACCACATACCAACAAAGATGTTGTGTCCGCCGAGAACTAAAAATAATAAATATTAAAAATTCTCTCTCTCTCTCTCCCTCTTTCCTCTCTCATAAAAAAAAAAAAAAAGATACCTTTGTTAAGTGTATCTGTGACAATTCTCACTCCAAATAAAGTCACACTCCGTGGTGCTGGGCACAGAGTCTTTGGGACTCACCAACAAAGTGATACTCAGGAGTCACTTTGGGCCACCAAAGTTCACTCTCACCAGGGCCAGGCACCTGCTAACAGTAGATTCCCAGGGTGTCCACTTCATTGGCAATGAGGTCACCGCATGCTCTGGAGTCTTTAGATCAGCACTGGGATTCTAATTTTGGAGCTTAGCACAGACCACACAGGGCACTTCATCCAGCAGAGACACCTCCACCATCATGGATGGGCCCTGCAGTTTGTGATAATCATGGGACAAGGCTGTCACTCTGCACCCTGCATCTGAGGAGGAGCTGTATCCTGCTCTGAGCCCTGACCAGTACATCCAGGAGCTGTCTCCAAGGCCAGAGGAGC